TTGGTTCATAAGGCTGATTTTTGATTCGTTGCATCATTCATGTCTCTTTCCTACTAAAATTCACTATTTTTATCACGTGTTTCCCAAAAAAAACTAGACAACAATAAGCTATACACCTCATTATATTATCAAATTTTATACCTCACCTTCCTCCGGCCAAATGGTCGGGGCCTACGCTAGTTTTAGTTACAGAGGCAAATATGATTGCCACGATATTCTGAAAAGACATAAATGAAAAAAGGAAGAACATATGCTAAATTGAATTATCAACAACAAAAAGATAGACCTTTCCACAGTAATGGGTCATTTGCATCTCCTATTAATGTTTATAATAAAGATAAAAACGTGAATAGATCAAATAGTTGAATTGATCGGCTGCAAAACAGAAGAGATTGAGGTTTTCAAAGAGAAGAGTTACACTTCCATATCGATGCTGCAAGTCTCATCTGCTGATGTTATTGCTATTGGTGAAGGTAAGTCTTTCAACTGGCTACTTTATCTTATTCATCGAGCCTCGTTCATTTTACTGCTTGTTTAATTTTATAGGGATTTGCACGAATGTGACTACAAGTCGGCATTAGAGAGAAAATTAGGGGTTTCCATCTTTCGTTGATGTCGGTCGGGCACACCTTGATCGTTACATCTATTAACGCTATTTCTATCCACCATCTTCTGTCGTAATCACAATCCGACGAAACTGCATCACAAACATCACTATTGTCTCGGGATATATGAATGAGATTTCTCAAAGATTACAATCATGTATTTGAGATTTACATCCCTTTTTGGACGGGCCCCTTGATTGCGGCATACAGGTGATGCATATGTTTACTCAAGAGCATGTTTTTAGTTGTTTCGATTTCTAGCTATCAATGTCTCAACATATGCATTATGACTACCGAGTTGTTCCACAACTTCAACTTCTTGGGTTGGCAGTAATTATTGAAATCTAATTATACTACATGACTCAGAATTGAAGCTTTTAATATCGGTGGCAGGGTTTGGGCAAGATTTGGTGTGTTGCACACCAGTCACTTTAACGTTATTGTTTAAGTAGAGAAGGAAGATTCATGTCCTTATTCACCAATGGTGGTAAGAGTGATCTTAGTCCGTGCAAATATATCCTCCAAATATTTTCATGGTTCAAATTGTTGAACTTAGTACCAATTGATTTTGTTAGAGAGAACTCTGTCACCAGTCCCCTTATCGTGTTGGGTTGTCAGTCCAGCTAGTGCCAAGGTAATTTTAACATAATTTTCAAAATGTTGAAAGATTGTAGAGCTTTTTGATGTTATGTTAACAAAGTAACATATTTTTTTCTATTATCAGCTTCATTGCCTTACAACAAGAAACTTTTGCTTTGTCAGTGTAAGTTTTGATACTATAACTCTCTAATTTGGCTCTTTTTCTCCTTATAATGTTACGGTGTGTATGAAGTTCTATTTGTGAACTTAATCACTATCTCTACTTTTTATCTAACTTTTGTTTTATTGGTTTCATTTTTGGTATTGTCTTGGATGAAGACAAGTGATCAGTGATCTTGTTCCTAGACATTCTCTTTGATTTTCGGTGGGCAGGAGAAAACAAGTTTTGGGTATGAGTACCAAAGAGACTCGTTGAGACGAAGAGAATAATGACATGAAGGGTTGAAGGAGATGATGGTCTTGTATCAGTTCTATTTCCCTGGGTACTTGTCTCCTCTAGCAAATCATTGGAATTGAGGTAGGAGAGCTCTCTTTTCAAAGTTTGTTTCATATCTGTAGAAGTATATCCTATGAGATAAGAAAATATAGGTGCTCTTATATTGTTTGCCCATCACAGTTCTTCAACTCACAAGGCTCCAACTTTTTGGAGGAAATTGTTCGACACTCATATACAATAAGTGGGAAATTACATAAGCACTTTTCAAATGAGTAAATGGATAGCTTTCGGTCATCTGCAGCTCGGATATGGCTAGAAGATGGTTTTGGCGGGGAGTAGCCGGTTCATTGAGTTTGCGTCTTGTAGCTCATCAGGGAACTTAATTATTAATTTGTTAAATTTCTTTGCAACTAAGATCGTTTCCCCTACCAGTACATCTACTTTAATTCTATTGCTTCTGATATATTCTAATAATAGGAATAGTAAAGTTACAACTTTGCATCTAGATTTATTTATCTTGTTTACATTACATAATTATTATTTTAATTAATTAAGTGATGCGTTAATTACCATTTTGAAAAAAGTGTATAATATTTAATATTGTGTAAGAGCGACAGATACATTTGCCTTCGATTGCCATTACTAATAAACTTTACCGGGACATTTAGAGACATACCGCTACACTTAGCGACTCACGATTTGCGTTAATTTATTATCTTTAGCCGCTAATATATCTGTTTAAAAAGAGGTCTTTGAAACATATTGTCTAGATTTTATTTCTAGAATAGACGGATAATACATAAGCTTTCTAATGTACGACTATAGACATATACATAATTGCCGCTATATTTTGTCTCTAAAGAGATTTAGATGAAGCAGTATTGGCGTCACATATTTATGTGTCTCTAAATAGTTATAGCAATACATAAATTATGTATAGAGGCAAATACTCATAGTCTCTATAAGATATTTTTCTTGTAGTGACAGCTGTATAATCGATGAATGGCTTAATCTATATTTGATATGATATGAGGACCCTATAACTAGAATCCAAAATATAATGAAGGAAAACTAGACCAACTCTAAGTGGGAGAATATAATGTACTTACCAGAATGATTGGGAATAAGTGTGGTGAATAAGGACATAGATAATTCGTGTGATTAATCCTTGGAGATTGTGGAGATACGGACCTAGTATCCTTGCCAAACTGTAATATGGCTTTCAACTAGTTGATATGATCATTCACAGGGAGTCCCAATAATTAAGCTATTTACTTTTCATTTTCAAATCCATACACATTGATCTACTTCACATTGAGTAACTAGAACCATTAAGTACCTCTGAAATGATTGATTGGAAAAATTATTATTTGGCTTGAAGTAACAGGGGTTACCGAATTGGATTTCACTTATGCCATTATGATCTGGTAACCCATCGAAGCTCCCAAAGTGGAGCCACCATTGTTGACACAAATGTTTGGAATTTGCAATGAGGCAGAACGCTAGACATTTCTCTTGGGGGAGGCCGTCACAATAGAGGCTCTAATACCATGCTCAAAAGTAGAAATCTATGCAAAGTTGATTGAAAATCCTACAAAGAGTGAAGTTTCCTCTTTGTTCTTATATATACTGTTATATATTAATCACAAGAAGTTTTAATATATAACAAGAAGTTTAATAAAATCTTGCCATGTGGCTAAGTTATATTCAATTATCGTAATCAATTATCGTAATTAATGAAACTAATATACTGTTATATATTAATCACAAGAAGTTTTAATATATAACAAGAAGTTTAATAAAATCTTGCCATATGGCTAAGTTATATTCAATTATCGTAATTAATGAAACTAATTTATAGCATCCTATCTCAAATCATATAACACTTATATAACACTTATCTAACACAGCAATGAGGCAGAACGCTAGACATTTCTCTTGGGGGAGGCCGTCAAAATAGAGGCTCTAATACCATGCTCAAAAGTAGAAATCTATGCAAAGTTGATTGAAAACCCTAGAAAGAGTGAAGTTTCCTCTTTGTTCTTATATATACTGTTATATATTAATAACAAAAAGTTTTAATATATAACAAGAAGTTTAATAAAATCTTGCCATGTGGCTAAGTTATATTCAATTATAGTAATTAATGAAACTAACTTATGGCATCCTATCTCAAATTATATAACACTTATCTAACATAGCTCATCAGTAGGGAGTTTAACTGTATCTATACGACTTGAACTTTGAAATTCTTTGGTAAGTAAACATATGTATCATAAACACACTACAAGAAAAATGAGATATAGAGACACATATTTGAGGCACATTATATATTAGCCTCTGAAAGAAAATTATCAACGAACATTATAATATCTGCCCCCTATATATGACACTATTTGTTGCTAATTGTTCTTTATATAAAAAATTGTTTCGGCCAAGTTAGAGGGTTATCTTTAGAGGCAATTATATTATTTGGCGGTGAAGATAAGTAACAGATATGTTTAGAATATGGTATGGAGACAATTAGAATAGCGGGTAAATATTTTAGTTACAGAGGCAAATATGATTGCCACAATAATTCTGAAAAGACATAAATGAAAAAAGGAAGAACATATGCTAAATTGAATTATCAACAACGAAAAGATAGACCTTCCCACAGTAATGGGTCATTTGCATATCCTATTAATGTTTATAATAAAGATAAAAACGTGAATATATCAAATAGTTGAATTGATCGGCTGCAAAACATAAGAGATTGAGGTTTTCAAAGAGACTAGTTCCACTTCCATATCGATGCTGCAAGTCTCATCTGCTGATGTTATTGCTATTGGTGAAGGTTAGTCTTTCAATTGGCTACTTTATCCTATTCATCGAGCCTCGTTCATTTTACTGCTTGTTTAATATTATAGTGATTTGCACGAATGTGACTACAAGTCGACATTAGAGAGAAAATTAGGGGTTTCCATCTTTCATTGATGTCGGTCTGGCACACCTTGATCGTTACATCTATTAATGCTATTTCCATCCACCATCTTCAGTCGTTATCACAATCCGACGAAACTGCATCACAAACATCACTGTTGTCTCGGGATATATGAATGAGATTTCTCAAAGATTACAATCATGTATTTGAGATTTACATCCCTTTTTGGACGGGCCCCTTGATTGCGGCATACAGGTGATGCATATGTTTACTCAAGAGCATGTTTCTAGTTGTTTCGATTTCTAGCTATCAATGTCTCAACATATGCATTATGACTACCGAGTTGTTCCATAGCTTCAACTTCTTGGGTTGGCAGTAATTATTGAAATCTAATTATACTGCATGACTCAGAATTGAAGCTTTTAATATCGGTGGCAGGGTGGGCATGATTTGGTGTGTTGCACACCAGTCACTTTAACCTTATTGTTTAAGTAGAGAAGGAAGATTCATGTCCTTGATCACCAATTGGTGGTAAGAGTGATCTTAGTCCGTGCAAATATATCCTCCAAATATTTTCATGGTTCAAATTGTTGAACTTAGTACTAATTGATTTTGTTAGAAAGAACACTGTCACCAGTCCCCTTATCGTGTTGGGTTGTCAGTCCAGCTTGTGCCAAGGTCATTTTAACATAATTTTTAAAATGTTGCAAGATTGTAGAGCTTTTTAATGTTATGTTAACAAACTAACATATTTTTATCTATTATCAGCTTCATTGCCTTACAACAAGGAACTTTTGCTTTGTCAGTGTAAGTTTTGATACTATAACTCTCTAATTTGGCTCTTTTTCTCCTTATAATGTTACGGTGTGTATGAAGTTCTATTTGTGAACTTAATCACTATCTCTACTTTTTATCTAACTTTTGTTTTATTGGTTTCATTTTTGGTATTGTCTTGGATGAAGACAAGTGATCAGTGATCTTGTTCCTAGACATTCTCTTTGATTTTCGATGGGCAGGAGAAAACAAGTTTTGGGTATGAGTACCAAAGAGACTCGTTGAGAAGAAGAGAATAATGACATGAAGGGTTGAAGGAGATGATGGTCTTGTATCAGTTCTATTTCCCTAGGTACTTGTCTCCTCTAGCAAATCATTGGAAATGAGGTAGGAGAGCTCTCTTTTCAAAGTTTGTTTCATATCTGTAGAAGTATATCCTATGAGATAAGAAAATATAGGTGCTCTTATATTGTTTGCCCATCACAGTTCTTCAACTCACAAGGCTCCAACTTTTTGGAGGAAATTATTAGACACTCATATACAATAAGTGGGAAATTACATAAGCACTTTTCAAATGAGTAAATGGATAGCTTTCGGTCATCTGCAGCTCGGATATGGCTAGAAGATAGTTTTGGTGGGGAGTAGCCGGTTCATTGAGTTTGCGTCTTGTAGCTCATCAGGGAACCTATTAATTTGTTAAATTTCTTTGCAACTAAGATCGTTTCCCCTACCAGTACATCTAGAATCCAAAATATAATCAAGGAAAACTAGACCAACTCTAAGTGGGAGAAAATAATGTACTTACCAGAATGATTGGGAATAAGTGTGGTGAATAAGGACATAGATAATTCGTGTGATTAATCCTCGGAGATTGAGGAGATACGGACCTAGTATCCTTGCCAAACTGTAATATGGCTTTCAACTAGTTGATATGATCTTTCATAGGGAGTCCCAATAATTAATCTATTTATTTTTCATTTTCCAATCCATACACATTGATCTACTTCACATTGAGTAACTAGAACCATTAAGTACCTCTGAAACGATTGATTGGAAAAATTATTATTTGGCTTGAAGTAACAGGGGTTACCGAATTGGATTTCACTTATGCCACTATGATCTGGTAACCCATCGAAGCTCCCAAAGTGGAGCCACCATTGTTGACACAAATGTTTGGAATTTGCAATGAGGCAGAACACTAGACATTTCTCTTGGGGGAGGCCGTCACAATAGAGGCTCTAATACCATGCTCAAAAGTAGAAATCTATGCAAAATTGATTGAAACCCTCTTTGTTCTTATATATACTGTTATATATTAATCACAAGAAGTTTTAATATATAACAAGAAGTTTAATAAAATCTTGCCATGTGGCTAAGCTATATTCAATTATAGTAATTAATGAAACTAACTTATGGCATCATATCTCAAATCATATAACACTCATCTAACACAGCTCATCGGTAGAGAGAATAGAGAGGGAAAAATAGAGTGAAAAAGGTGAGAAATTCTGTTAGGAATAGCGATGCTTCTCGCCGTCGTAGTCGCCACCTTGCGCAGGCAGTGACGAATGTCGTCACTACACCGATCTCATTGTCTCCCCCTCTCCTCCACCTTTACTAATTCTCGGTTCTCATGAGCTTCACCATGGCTGGAGACTGTTCATGTGAAAATTTGTTTGGCATAACCGAGGAGAAATGGTTGGTTTATATTGAGTCGGAGACCGTAAACAAAGATCTGTGTATCCGGGCGGAGCTTGAAGAAGAAGGTTGCACGATAGAAGAATTTCTTGGTAGGGCAGTTTCTCACATCCTCACCGCATATCAAACAAGTTCATGGCTTAAATGGCTATGGGGTGGGATTTCATTTTTGGGAAATTTTCTTCTGATGTTCCAATTCATGAAAGAGGAGACTAATCACTTGGTTTTTATGAGAGGCCCTAGGCATCTCCACAACGACATGTGCTATCCGAGGAAGTGGGAGTCAGGGATTCGAGCAGAGCAGTCGAAGTAGACAATTTCTTTGTGGGTACATTTTCTTGATCTTCCTCTCGAGCATGCCACAGGGCGAATCCTTATTTGCCTGGCTAGCATGTTTGGGAAGCCTCTTTGGTTTGACAAAGCCAGCGGACTAAGGAGGCATCTGGGGTACCCAAAATTTTGTGTGCGTGTCCGTGTAGACTGCCATTTTTTTGAGTCTTTGAAGCTAGTCCCTGATAGGTGTCCTACCTATTATGTTCAACAAGAATACCGCAACATGTCTGAGATATATGAGAAATGCAAGAAGTTTGGGCGTAAATGCAAAGAGTAGTCCCCTGACACGACATAGCAGGCAATGGAAACTCCCATGAATGTCTGACTTCTGGCTCCTTTCGTGTGCCTCGAGACCCTTCCCTTTGGCTCCCTATTGTTGAGGAAACTGAGGCCAATGGGTGATGGACGTAGGGCTTCAACAGGCTGTTAAAAACTTGGTATCTTCTCCTACAGTGGGAAACTCAACTGAGGTATGGCAAGTAGAGAAACTCCCTTCAGACTCAGAATTTCAAGATGTTGTGGGAAGAGTCGAAGAGAGGGTATCCTAAGCAGTTGTAACTCTTTTGGGGTTATTGATTCTCGTGAGCAGTTTTAGATAGGATATCTAGTAGTCTCGCCTTTGAAGCATCCAATTCACTTCCCTAAGTTGAGTAGGGTCATAAGAAGGGAAAGAAGCCTTGTAGGCCTCCAAAGGCTTAAACCAACGACAATTAAATGAATATCCAAACCTGTAATATTCAAGGGTTTAATAGCCCTGCAAAGCAAAAGAGAATTGTGGAAGCAGTTAGACAATTCAAGGTAGATATGGTAGGCATCTTAGAGACTAGATTTAGTGAAGAAAATGTACAAAAAATTATAGATGAGTCTTTTTCAGACTGGAAATAAAAAGACACTTACTCACCCACTCAGGTGGGAAAATTATGGGTTCTTCGAATAGAAACTATTCCTTTCCCTGTATTGGAAAGCAATGCATTCTTTGTTCATGGTATTCTTCAAGGGGAAGTAGCAACTATGTTAATTTTTGTCTATGGAAAAATGAAGTGCATTAGAGGGAAAGCATGTACCATGATCTGAAGTAGAAGGTCAAGAAGGATTTACCTTTGCTTACTATTGGAGACCTCAATGCGATTCTGACTTGCAACGGGTCCTCGAACCCAGTAGTGTTGGGTGAAAGTGCAAAGAATTTGAGTAGTTGGATAGAGGAAATGCATCGGATAGATCACAAGGTAGTAGAGCCATGGTTCACTTGGTCAAACAAACAAGAAGGAAACCCTATTGCTAAAATACTTGATAGAGTTCTTTTATCTAAAAACTGGCTAGCTAGCTTACCAAAAAGAATAGGCAGATCTGTTCCTCCAGGGCTATAAGATTACTGTGGCATCTTCTTGTATATAGACTCTAGAATGAAATAGTTTCCCAAGTCATTTAAGTACTTTAGTTATTAGAAGTCTCATCCTCAGTATGAAGCACTGGTGGAGTAGGGATGGGGATTCCCTACAATAGGAACCGCAATACAACAACTTCACTCAAAGTTAAGAGATATAAAATCCAGGCTAAAGACGTTGAATAGACAACTCTTAGGATTTAAAAACACTTCTCTAAAATACGTGATAGTGGATACCCTGAGCCGCTTTACTTTACTACCATCTACCAGCTGACTTCCCCTCTCTCTATTCAATTATAACTACAAAGGAAGTCAAGAATATAGTTCTTCGGATGAAAAAATGAAAGGCCCCAGGCCAGATTGTTTCTCTGCGTAATGTTTCCAGGGCAACTAGAATTTGGTGTAAGGTGTGGTCACTCAAGCTGTCCAAGATTTTTTCATCACAGGCAGATTGAGGAAGGAGGTAAATTGCACTATTCTCTCCCTTATCACAAAGATCCCTAATGCCAATTCAATGAAATTCTTTAGACATATCTCATGCTTTAATTTTTTATACAAATGTATTTCCAAGTTGCTTGCCAATCATTTGAAAGTAGCACTGCCACTGATAATAAGTCCTAATCAGTCAGCTTTTATTCAAGGGAGGTTGATCACTGACAACATTATATTAGCCCATGAAATGGTAAAATGGTACAAAAGAAAGAATGTTTCACCTCGTTGTGCACTTAAGATAAACATGATAAAGACATTCAATAGTGTTGATTGGACTTTTGTGTCTAGTGTTATGCTTGACATGGAATTTCCAAATCAATTTGCACAGTGGTTGGAGGGGTGTCTTCAATCAGCTAGTTTCATCGTGGGACACTTCTCTACAAAAAAGGGACTTAGAAAAGTATGCCCTCTGTCTCCCTATCTCCTTGCCATAAGCATGGAAGTTCTAACTTCTAAGTAGGATGCTGAATAGGGAAACAACCAGGGCATGCTCCCTTATCACCCGCCACATAATGGGATTGACTCATATTTGCTTTGCGGATGATTTGTTGATTTTCATAAAGGGTTCACGGGAGGTAGTTAGAACAGTTGCAAAAATTCTGGAAAAGTTCTACTTGGTCTCTGGTGTAAGATCTAACCCATCAAAAAGTGAACTTTTCAGTTCAGTGATAACAAATGAAGTTAGAGCTGAGTCGGTATGTCTCTCAGGATTTAAGGAAGGTCACTTACATGTCCGTTATCTAGGCATCCCTCTGACTCCAGGGAAACTCGGTTCATCTGACTGCAGAGCTTTAGTGAACAAAATTACTAAAAGGATTCAAGGTTGGCAACCAAAGCTATTAACATATGTATGAAAACTTCAGCTTGTTGTGGCAGTCCTTGCAAGTTTCACTCATTTTGGATGAATGTAATCCACCTCCCCAAGAAGGTAGTCAAAGAAGTAGAAATCATTTGTTCAAAATTCTTAGGGGTAACCTGGAACAAGAAAAGAAATCGAAGGTAGCTTGAAAGCGTGTGACTCTGCCAAGGAGTGAAGGAGGACTGGGGTTTAAGGATCTATGGTCATGGAATCAGGCCTATCTAACCATGCATATCTAGACCACTCTTGATGATGATAAGACTCTATGGATTGCTTGGTTGAAGAAATACAAACTAAGGAACCTAAGTATCTAGGAAACCCAAATCGAAGGCTCATGGGTGTGGAATAAGATTCTAAATCTCATACTTCTTATTAGCTCTAAACTGTTGAGAACAAACCATGGGGTAGAATGGGAAGGGATCGTAATGACTAACTACAAAATCAGTAAGCTCTAGGACAACATAAGACCTTGGAAGCAGGTGGTGGTTCCGTGGTCTAAGCTAGTGTGGAAATGACCTCAGATTCCAAAGAAATCCCAACTCACCTGGCTCATCTTCATTGACAGGATCACCACGCTTGACAAAATAAAAAGATGGAGATATGAGATTGTTTATGTTTGTCCCTTATGTCAATCAGCTCAAGAATCGAGAGATCATTTGTTCTTCTCATGCCACTATGTACAGGAAGTGTGGCGGATCGTGTTTCCCCATCCCTAGAGGGTGCCATTAACCAATAACCTTCAAACTGCAATATAGTTTGCAGTAAGGGAACTTGCTAAGAATGTGGTAGGGAGAGTTCTTTGGTGCCTCCTATTAAGTGAGGTTTTGTGAGAACGCTGCAAGAGGATGTATGGGGAAAGTCCCTGGAGATTGTAGTTGTGGTTCAAAAAATGGAAGCTGTTATGCTGACAAAGTTAGCAGGTGACATTAAATTTGCAGAAGCAATGACACAAAATCATATGTGGTTTCACCTTTGCGGAAGTTCTACATGAAATTGTATAAATATTGGCTTGTATAGTATAGATGACCAGTTGACGTGATCATTCTTATTTCCCATTCCAGTTAGTAGTCTTCTGCTGAGGTGACTTCTATTGTAACACTTTTGTAGGATTGATCATATTTGACGAATAAAGCCAACCATTCTTCGAGAAACTAACTTACGGCGGTAAATTAAACAAAGATAAAGACACCATTTATTCTAAGTACTAAGTAGCTGTTTCATTCCTCCGTTTACTTCATGCTTCAAACTCCCCTAGTTGTTTTTTTTTTTTTTGAAAAGTAGTCCTAGGTGTTACTGTCAGCAACATCGTTGGTTGTTGATGGTGTAAAGCCAATTTTTTTTATCAGGAACCTCAACTAAACCTGGGGAGCACCTGTACAAGACACAACATCGGGAAACTTCGTCCCCGGCACTCAGTCATGCCTCCGGGAACACACAAACGGCGCCGCTGGGGATCGAACTCAGGACCTCTCACATCCTGAGCCAACCAAACCAACGGTTTCACCGCTAGGCTATATTACCTTTGACATGTACTGTCATCATTAGCATGTACTATCTATATGTTATGAGAGGTTGTCAGCTCGAATCGTTTTACTGATATTTTTTGTTATCATGTATCGAGTATTTGTTCAATTTTATATCTATCATTAAACTTTAGTGTGGTGTAAAGTCGTTTTATTTATGATGAATATTAATAAAAATTAAAATAGTTTTGCCAAAAACAAAGTTTATGTGCCTCATAATATATCCTCCCGGTTGTCATTTCCATAATTTTAATAATTTTGTTTAGTAGCTAAACAAACAGATTGTTGTTCTATTTCCATAACAAATGGGGTAACTTGGTAACTAATAGCAATCACGCCGCCAAAAACACTAAATGGCATCTGGGATCGATCCATCATATAAGAATGGAAAGAAGATTAAGAAGAAGAACCCATAGGCTAAAGTTTGTCACTCACCATCGAAGAATTAACAATAGTGTTTTAATTACTCAACCCGACATTATAACTCCACCCCATGCATTACTGTATTTAATCCATCTTTCTCACAAATCCCATTCTCTGTCACCATCCTCTATCTTCACGCTCTATAAATCATACTCTCACACAGTATTAATGAATCAAACGAAACTAATTAGCCACCGAGCTTTAGCAAAATAATTAATCTTAATTATACACAATGTCGTCATCATCATCAACATCGACAATACCCAAAGTAGCGGCAACGTTACTTTTAACGACGCTGGCACTATTAGTAACCACACCGCCGCAATCCCAAGCTGCCGCCCGCCTCTCCACCGACTTCTACTCCAAGAACTGCCCCCGAGCCCTCACCGCCATCCGGGCCGTCGTCCGCGGCGCGGTCACCAATGACCGGAGGATTGCGGGGTCCCTTATCCGCCTCCAGTTCCACGACTGCTTCGTCCGCGGCTGCGACGCCTCCGTCCTCCTCGACAAAACAGCCACCACGGGGACCGAGAAAGACGCCGCCCCCAACCGCCGCTTCACCAAAACGTTTCGTGTCATCGAAGACGCCAAGTCACAGGTGGAGAGGATGTGCCCCGGCGTCGTGTCCTGCGCCGACATCGTCGCCGTCGCCGCCAGGGACGCTTCCGCCGCCGTGGAGGGCCCGTCCTGGGGCGTGGAGCTCGGGAGGCGGGATTCCGGCGCGGCATTCCCTTCTCTCGCCGGTTCCGACATCCCGAATCCCAAGGACGACCTGAAGACGCTGATCTCGAGGTTCCGTAAAAAGGGCCTGAATTCCAGGGAGATGGTGGCGCTCTCCGGGGCCCACACATTGGGCACCGCCCAGTGCTTTACTTTCCGCGAGAGGGTGTACGGCAACGAAACCGTCGCTAAAGATGTGATCGACCCGAACTTCGCGAGGAAGAAGCGGCGGATGTGCCCGGCGAGCGGCGGGGACCGGCTGGTCCAGCCGCTGGACCCGATGACGCCGACGTCGTTTGATAATAACTATTTCAAGGCGCTGATGTTGAGGAAAGGGCTGTTGGCGTCGGATCAGGTGCTGTTCAGCGGCGGTTCGACGGATGGGATTGTGCGAGAGTACAGCAGGAATGGCGGCAAGTTCAAAGGCGATTTCGCGGCGGCGATGGTCAAGATGGGGAGGATTGGGGTGCTCACTGGATCCAAAGGCCAGATTAGGAGGACGTGCAGTAAGGCTAATTAAATTAACTGGCTACATTAATTAGTTTCGTTTAATTGATTGATTCATCGATTTTGTTATGATCATTAGAGTAATGGGGTTTCTCTTGAAATTAATTAGCTGCTTCTTCCTTCAATCTCACCAATCGTTGATGTGCTTGCTCAAATTTTTTTTTTTTTTATTTCTCTCCTCCTGTTCTATGTACTGTATGGTGATTTTTTTTATAAGGATGTTCTGATCGGTGCTTTGATGCAACAAGAAAGAGAATATTAATTTTGCGACAAAAAGGAATGATAAATACGATTTCTTAACTCCATCTTCATGACTACTGCTTATTCCAACAAAAGTTGTTGAAGTTAATGATTTACCGGAAAATATAGGTCTTTGCTTTAAAGCAGTAAAAAAAAATTATCATTCCCACTTCAAAATAATTTTTTTCATTATTTTCCCTTATGAATAAGTTTGTTATATATATAAAAAAGAATACATTATAAAATAGAGTAGTTTATTTTAGAAAAAGGAGGCCTACTCAGACGAAGCTAAAATCCAAGTAATAATATCATAATAAGAGATAGATTGATGGAGCCCAGCAAAAGAAAATCATACGAGCAGCACAAATAAAAGCTTCAGCTCACCCGAATCATACAAGACCATGACGATTGAACGTCCAACACATAATCCGCCATCTAGGGATCGTTTGGAGATGATCCACCATAGTTAATCACAAGGTTGGATTACCCTTTGTGGGCAAGGTTGAGGCTGGAATGTTAAGAGCTGAACAACTCCAAGGGAGTCGGAGGCAGGATGGGCAGGACACAGAGAGCTGAAAAAACTCATTCACAGTCTGACACGACCCGATCCCTTTTGAAAACCAAACCACAACTCAAACCACAAACCGGTTACTCCGGAGCAACCCACACAACTTTTTAAAATAAATAAATCGGCAATATTTAAGAATTTCAAACAAAAAGACTGAACACTTGGGCAAATGACAATCCCAATACTTAAAATGAAAGAACTCAGGATCTCCAGTTTACACTCCTAACCATGTAACAAGGAAACTAAACTATTCTAGCTCTGACTCTTCACGAGTTCCTTGACTTCTCATCAATGCTGGTGCAGCTGCTCGCATCGCCTTGCCTCTTTTTGCAGTCCGCCTCTGCTAACCCTTCCTCGACCTGGTGAGTGAGAAGGGGTCAGTCTCGTCGTTACTTCCTAAGGTCTTTGCCCTAGGCAAACTCCTTACTAAACACATTATTAAGGGAAAATGCCTTCCTTAGACGAAAGTCATTCTCACTTTCATCCTTTAAACTTTACAATCAAACAGTATAAAGAGATCTCTACTCCTGTCTTATCTTTAGAATTCCCTTACTTATGTTCTTAATAACTCCTTTCAACTTTAACTCATACAGGTTCTCAACTTTTATCCTTAACTCAAACACAAAACACTAGGACCACCGCGTTACGTCTCGTCGTCCGGTTGCATACCCAAACTCGGCAATGGCATTGCGTTATGTCTCGCCGTCCAGTCCATGCACGTCAACTACTACGTTATGTCTCGTCGTCCAGTAGTGACCCCAACATACTCGATCAACTGGTGCGTTACGTCTCGCCGTCCAGCAGTGACCTGACCATCTACCGCGTCCAGTAGTGGCCCAACCGCTCGAGGGTTCCTCTTACCATCAATCCATACATCATCACATACATTCATACATAGCACAACGCGTGCCTCCACCCTTACATGCGGTGGGATGCCTCACACACATATCGCGCATACTAGAAAAATTAACTAAATAATAACTTGAACGAAAAGCATAAACTAAAAGACCTACGACAGAGATTTTACCCCCTTTACACTCACCTCAAATTCCTAAAAAACGACTCTGACTCCACTCTAAAAAATACCATTACTCGCTTCCATTAAATTCTCCTCGTTCCCACGATTCCATAGGCGTCGGCGTTCCTCGATCGGACGTCAATTGATCGAGTTATGACCAAATAAACATTCTGTCAGTTTAAAAGTACCAGGTACCGAAATTGTAATTTTCCAGTCAACATAGTTGACCACGACTATCTGGAAAAATTACAGATTTAATCCTCAAACTCATCGAATTGACAAGAATAGTACCTGAACTATCCGATTTGCATCCCAAACTTTCGAGGCTTGTATCTCCCTCGTCCGACGTCGAAACTCGTTTCCGTCGAGACCTGGATGCTCCTGGGATCGTCCTCTTCCCAGTGATAGCCACCACTTGAAGAATGGTCGAACTTGACTACGTCAATGCCGCGACAGAGCTACGATCATCTCGACGACCTTCTGGTTTTCCCGACAAGCTGACCGTACGAGAAACCTGAACTGGAGGGTTGCGGTCGCTACTGCTTGTTTCGCGAAGGACATGAGGGTTCGATGAGATAGGTGGTGGCGGTTGTGCTTCGGGAATGGAATTGGGGATGGCGATTCTTTTTTCTTCTCGCCAACGGCTGCTGCTGCGGTGCGATAGAGATAATTTGGGGGAGGGTGTCTTTTTCTTCTTCCTTCTTTCTTCTCCGCGGCGCGGGTGCTGCTGCTGTTGAAATTAGATAAAGTTTAATAATCAAAATATCTAAACATCCTAGAAGCTAGTAGACGAGTGTGGATTCGACTGGAGAAGAAGAAAAAATCAGCAACAGTTAACAATGAATTAAATGTGTTAGTTGGGTAGTTGCATGATTATGAATTAAACAAAGCAAAAAAACAAGAACCATATGTTTAGGTCGGTTGTGTTGATATTTGTTTGGGAGAAGGCCTATAAATAGGCTGGCTTGTACGTTGGTGTAATGCAGAACCAAGAAATAAGAAAGAAAGAAAGAGGCCACTAAAAGTAGCTCTCTTTTCAAACTCCCTCTGCAGCCTACTATCCTCCCAATTCCATTTCCAAATTAAAACCCCAACGCCTTCCTTTACTTTAAAACAACACGTGCCCACCAATAAAAGAAAAAACCCCACCAATAGTTTTCAATCAAAAGGAAATAAATTCATTTTATTTCCAACAAAGTGGTATTAGAGCCCGAGTTATTTCTGAGTATGCTCTGTGGTTGCAGCGTAGTCTGAACTTCCACATCAGAAAAGAATTTCTCGGTTTTTTGTTATCACGATTGTCCCATGGCCGAAAAATCCACTTTCCCCATTCAATTCCCCCACCTTACCAAAACCAATTATAAAAATTGGTGTATCCGTATGAAAGCCTTGCTGGGATCCTAAGATGCTTGGGATATTGTCGAAAAAGGTTATGAGATTCCCGTGGAGGATTCTCGGTTATCTCCTACTGAAAAGGAGGTATTGAGAAAAAATAGAAAGAGTGATCAGAAAGCACTCACTCTCATTCATCAGTGTCTTGATGAATCGATGTTTGATCAAATAGCATATGCTACCACAGCAAAGGAAGCATGGGAGATTCTGCAAAAGGAAATGCAAGGCGTGGAACCAGTAAAGAAGGTTCGACTTCAAACACTCAGGGGAGATTTTGAAGCAATAAAATGAAGGAAGATGAATCTGTTTCAGATTACACCGCCCGTGTGAAGTCTATCGCCAGCAAACTGAAGCAGTATGGGGAGAAAATAGAAGAGACCAAAGTGATGGAGAAAATTCTACGGTCATTATTACCGAAGTTCGATTATGTGGTGGTGGCCATGGAGGAAGCTAAGGATGTGTAAAAAATGACAGTTGATGAAGTCATCGGCTCGTTGCAAGCACGTGAAGAAAGACTAAATAAAAGAAATGAAGAATCGTCAGAACAAGTGTTAGCTACAAAAACTACCACTGAGGAGAAAGAAGGCGCACGAGGAGGAGGTCAGTGTAGAGGTCGAGGCAGTGGCAGCTACAGAGGCAGAGGAAGAGAAAGAGCCCGAGGAGCATATCAAAGTAGAGATAGAGGAAATTTCACCAGGAACAATTATGAAACGTCCACCAAAGGCAGAGGTTGTGGTCGTGGACGTGGAAGAGGAAATTGGAGATCAAATGAAGGTCGTGATAAATCCAACGTCCAATGCCATAATTGCTCGAAGTACGGGCATTATGCATCGGAATGTTGGAGTCCGCCTAAAGAAGTGGAGGAGACAGCAAACAACGTGCAAGAAGAAGTCAAAGGCACATTGATGCTGTCACATCAAGGAGATGAAAAAGCGAAAGACAACATGTGGTATCTGGATAATGCAGCAAGCAACCACATGTGAGGTAAAAGAAACATGTTCGTGGATATGGATGAATCGGTGAAAGGAAATGTCGTATTTGGAGACTCCTCGAAGGTTCCTATCAAAGGCAGATGAACTATACTCATCCGGCTCAAGAATGGCTCACAACAATTTATCAGTGATGTGTACTATGTCCCAGACATGACTAGTAACATCCTGAGTTTGGGTCAATTGATGGAGAAGAATTATGAAGTCCACATGGTGAATCGTCAACTGGAGCTGTTAAATGAGAAGAGGCACTTGTTGGCCAGAGTCCCAATGTCAAGAAATAGAATGTTCACCCTGAACATTCAAACTGAAATGGCGAAGTGTTTGAAAGCCTGTGTGAAGGACAATACATGGCTATGGCATCTGAGGTATGGCCATCTAAATTTTGGAGGCCTGAAGTTACTCGGTCAGAAGAAGATGGTTCATGGTCTGCCAGTGATCAATCATCCAGACCATTTGTGTGAAGGATGCTTAATTGGGAAGCAATTCAGGGCAAGTTTTCCAAAGGAGTCCCTGTCACGAGCTAAAGCACCACTTGAGCTCGTCCATACAGATCTCTGTGGACCGATCACACCAACATCGTTCGGGAAGAACAAATACTTCCTATTGTTCATTGATGACTACAGTAGAAAGACATGGGTATACTTCTTGAAGCAGAAGTCAGACACATTTGAAGCTTTCAAGAAGTTCAAGATGCTCGTGGAGAATGAAAGTGGCCGCTACATCAAAGCTATGAGATCAGATAGAGGTGGAGAATTTATGCTCAAAAAGTTCAGAAAGTTCTGTGAATATCAAGGAATTCGCAG